AAAGGTTTCAGAGCTTCCTTTGCCAACCGGACGCCTTGAGTGCATGTGCATAGCCCCAGTTGACAAGAATGAAAAATAAAAAATGTTTCACGGGACCTCAGTGCAGCAAACTCATAAGAAAAAGTATTCACGGCAAATGTGGCATTGATTGGCAGCCAACAATGTCTCCGCAGTCTGGACACAACAAGAAATCTTACTCCCTGCGTCAGTGCTATGCCTCAAGAATACTACTCACAACTCGGCTACTTGCTGCTATAGCGGGGGAAGATGGTGGAACTTCTCCCTGAGATAACTGTAAGATACGCATGTCTTGACAACCTCCTCGCTGGTGTATTTCAAGCCTTTGGTTCATGCGTATCAGCACGGTTTTTGGCGTTGGTAGCCCGCTGTGGGTGGGGTGGGGTGGGGTGGGGGGGGTGGGGTGGAAGGGTGGGGTGGGGTGGGGTGGGGTGGGGTGTGTGGGGGGGTGAGGGTTCAAGCACATTCCTTGGCTGTTTGTAGCCCTGTTAAGGTTGCTCTTGGCACTTGTTTTTTGTTGTCAAGGTTTAGCATCGTAGGTCAATACGCGGAGGAAGAATTGCATGGCAAATGTACAAAACCAGAACATCGTGTTTTGGCAAACTATCTAGGAGCGCTCGGAAAATTGGGTGGTACATGCAGCATGGGGAAAATGAGCTGCAAGCAGGCCCCTAGCGGGCCGTAACCGAATAGAAATTGCTGTTACTGTGAGCGGACGAAAACTGTCTGGAAGTGTCCTCAACAACTTTCAGCGCACAGCATCCTGACTGTGATCACCGCACATTGAAATGCAGATGCAATGTCGGTCACGCAATGGAGCTGCTGGGATTCTTCCAGATTGCGTCCTAAATATTGGATTCCTGTCTATGGGATCCTCCAGCCGGGTCGACGTCCACCATTTTGCGGAAAGTGGGCTCACGGCTTGGTATTTTGGCAATGCGCCCATTTACCCAAGCAGGCTTGGGCTTCACGTTTACGTTCATGTTTTTATGCGCAGAAAAGCAAATATGCAGAAGGGGCTATTTTTACGGCTATATTTATGGCTCGTTGGGACACTCACGTTACATGATGAATTCGCAAGTCAGTCCTCCGGCCCCTCGAGCACCCGCAACACAGCATCCACCTCGCCTTGGCAACGGCAGAGATGTCGTTGAACAAAAAGTCGTTTTCTGCCCACTTCAGCAGGACTGGCTGCCACTCCCCGGACTCCTTGAGTCTGCGTATATTGTCTTCATGTACACCGAGTCAGAATATACGTAATTTTACACGTATTACGCACACAAACGTAAATACTATTTTGCACGTAAATGCGCGTAAGTACTCAGTGGTTACGCCGTAAAGACCAAGCCTGAACTCAAGAGGTTGTTGTTCACCATGTGGCCGTGAGCGCGTTCTCCCGCGGCCCATTGCAACCTTTGGTCCCAGCCGCTCAAGATTGAAAGCACGAAACGGATTTGCTTGGGCATGACAGCATTGAAAGGCGCCTAATCACCGAATGAAGATTTGGAGGTTTCCCAACGCATGCAAGTTAATGCACAAGGATGAGCAGAAATCACCGTGAAACTAGTGCCCAGGGTGGTCATGGAATACAGAAATTGCTGAGGACGACCATCTGGATTCGTCAATGTTTACAACATATTATTGAGACGTGCAGATTGTATCGAGTACCATGGCGAGGCGACTGACTATCCACTCGCCAGTCGCGGCACCCAATAACTTGCTTATCTTTTCACGGCTTGTTCACATTCCAACGCGTGGTACATTACCCACGCGGAATTTGCCATCGTTAACTTGGTAATGAGCTTCAAAGGTTCATAAACAACATTCGCGGGAAGCTGGCTGTTCTTTGCTGGTACCGGCATTGCAGCATTCAGCGTTGCATTCCCTGAACACCCTCCAGCAGGCAAGAAGAGATGGGCCACTCATGTCCGTGTCAATCAATCAACAATTACATAACCGGGAAGTAGCTTAGGAACCCACCATCTCAACGTCCTTGGGGAGTCGGTGGTACTGCACTGGCGAATTCTCTTGTTGAGCTTCCTCAACCCTATTGACTCTCTCAACACCAACAGCGAACCTCGCAAGCTGCTTCTGGTCAGACTCTGACGGCCGTAGCCACCTCTGCCCCCAGAGCATCGCCAACGGTGACATCATCACCGTGAGTCCAACAACGAACCACAAAGTACGCCCGTCACAAGACTGTGTGCCTGCCACCGGCGTGCCCACCATGTCCCCATGCTTCCCACACGCTCCAGTGTCTGGGCAATACTCTGACAGCAGTTTTCCAGAAAGCGCCCCTGTGGGGAGCTTTGCCAGAAAGAGGGGTGCAGCAGCCATGGCTGTGAACACACCCTCTTTGCCTTGGGGGGCAATGGACATGCTGTAGTCGTACCACCGTGGGGACCAGATGGCCTCCCCCAACGACAGCATGAGCACAAAAAGCGCTGCAGCCCACTCCGATTGAAAGGCAACCATCCAGAATGGAGACAGGGCGGTCAGATAGGATCCATAGTGAATCATGTCAAAGTGATTTAGGTGTGTTGTGACAGCGCCCACGATGGGCACCAGGCAGATAATAATGAAGGGGTTGATGCTGTAGACCAGCCCCACATGTGCATCACAGCCAAATGCACGGGTTTGGTATTTTGGCAGGGTGGCATCAAGGTGGCGGAATATCATCTTGAGGTTCACAGTGAACAGGCACACTGCTGCGAACTTCTGAACGGGTAGACACCTGAGCATCTGCCACATATCTACCAAGAATCTTCGAGCTTTAGCCCCAACGATCTGAAGTTGGAAACGGGCATCTGCACCCCTGTACGCAGATCCTGGCCCATGCCGATCGGGTGTTTGAGTTGCAAGGCCGTCTGCTTCTGCCTTGTACAAGGGCTGGCCCTCACAGTCATGGGAGCGCTGGCCTGCCCGCCTGGTAGCTGTTGAACTGAAGGTAACAGCCAAGAACAGCCCCACAGCAGACAGCAGGCAGCCCAAAAACAACAACAGCCTTGTTCCATCGTTGAGCACTGAGTAAGGCCCTGTTGCCCCTGGCTGAAGCCCATGCTTGAGGTGAACTCGAAATAGGTCGAATACCAACCCATTCACAAGCCCAGCCACGTTCATGAATGTGTAAAACAGCCCAAAAGCGAAGCCCCTACACGCTGGGGTGGTGAGGCGCTTGATGCCAACCACCAACACGGGCAACCCGGCAGCATGCCCTATCGCAAGGGGACCATACAGCAGGAACAGTAGGAAGGGCCTGGAGTGGGTGGTGGCCATGCCCAGCCTGCCAACAACGGACATCGAAAAACACAAGCACAACATGGACCTGATGCCCACCCAGTCCAGCACCGGCCCCAGGACGACACTGTAGGCGACGATCAGGCTGCCCCAGACGCCGTAGGAGACGCCAGCCTCATAGTCCGACATGCCAAACTCATCCGTCAGGTACATGGTGTACAGCAGGGATTCGTTGAAGTAGACAAACGATTCGATGGCCTTCAGCGCGAAAATGACGTACAGTCCCCTGGGGCTTCCCTTCAGGGACAACAGCCCTTTCCTGACCTTCTGCAGTGCACCTGACGCGAACATTGCCACAGAATCCGCCGCCTTGTCGCGCCAGCAGCCCGGGTTGACACCTTTTTCAGAACCCTCCTGATCCCCTGCTTTCCCAGGGCGAGCTGCGGCTGTGCTGAGGTTGTCTGCCTATCAACGGCGCAAGGTTGCATTCCGCTGCATCGCCTCGAGCAATCCCCAGTTGGCAATCCTTGGGAGCTTCAGGGCCGAACCTCTGCCCAAACACCCTCGTTTTACACCCCAGTTGGCAATCCTTGGGAGCTTCAGGGCCGAACCTCTGCCCAAACACCCTCGTTTTACACCCACGGGGGAGTCCCCTGCCAGAACGGCTGCGCAGGCGTGCAAGACGGCGTTAGGTCCACTGCGCGCACGGGCCTCATCGACACTCTGGCGGGGCCGCGCAAGTTTGGCGCTCTCTCTCTCTAACGGCGCGTTCAACGCGATAGTAACTCCTGTCTGGCGAGGAGCAGGGACCCCCATTTCTGCTTTTCCTGACGTTTGCGAGATCACATTTTTGCGGTCGCGCCCGCTCAAAAGTGCGCACGCGCGACATTTCGAAGTCACTCTCCGCACCGCGCAACGCTGGTCTCACTTTCAGCCGGCCAGCCGCTCCCCTCAAACCACCGCAAGCCAGGCGGCGAACGCAGGCACCGGCACACGCCCAAAGGCAGAGTCTTGTTGGGAACGAGGCCTTTGTGGTCGGCAGCGAGCCCCTGAGCCCAAAAGATCGGGCTGCCTTTGAGGCAGACCCGGCAGTGCCGCGACGTCAAGTCACACCTACCCCCTTTGCCTTGGCTCCCCATCCGCGGATGTCGTTCGCCGATCCAGTCACCTAAAATGGGCTGCAGTAAGCCGTTGCGCAACTTGAAGTACGGATACAGGGACACCGCTGACAAACCCCGTGGCCGCGCTGGGCCTAAGGGAACACCCTGTGGCGATCTGTGTACCTTCAGCATCAAAATGACGCTGAGGAAGGGGTTGGGTTTGGGGTGGGGTGGGCGCAGACCTGTGGCGCCAGGGACACACATGATTGCTGCAAACTCGACACAGGCCATTTGCTGCACACACTTTACCGCCTTTGGTTAGTTGGGGACATATAATTAACTATCCTGTTAATGAGTTTCTGCCTAGGACGACGATGGGTGGGCGCGGATCAGCCAGTCTGGGCCGTTCCGTGACTTTGGCCAGTTTGGGGGCCATCACTAGGCTGGTTTTTGTCACCCCTGTACTCGGGGTCAGTTCTGCCCGGCGGATCCAAGGGCAGTTGGGTTGAGCCTTGTACCTTGGACGCAGCCAAGGGGACCGGTCAAGCTGGCCCTTGGGTTTGGCGGGGAGTTTGGCGGCAAGTGGGAGCGGCTATTTAGGCGCGACCCTTGGCGCCCCCCTTTATCTTGTTTCACTTCGCGCCAACCTTGGCACAACCCGGAACCACCGAGTGGTTCGACTCTCCAGCCTCCGCGCCGAGTCCTTCCTGTATGAACCCCAGCCCTGCCGAACAGTGGCTGCGGGCCCAGGCGCTTCGTTTCAACCAGCGCCTCCCTGACCGACCCATAGAGCTCACGTGGGTTTCCGACCCCCGCTTACTCCCGCGGTCAGTCAACAACCGCGTCGCCAGGCCTGACTTCACGTCCTTTCCGGCCTGGTTCGACGTACGGGAGACTGGTCAGGGCCAAACCGTCGCCGCGGCCTTGGGACCCAACTCCGGCTACTTCCAGGAGTATGCGAGCTGGGCTCCATGGGTCGCGTGGCAGTTCGACTACACGGCGGCCTTCGTGGACCTGGTCGCCCATCCGAGCCTCCCGCCTTCGATCCGCGATCTACTGCTCCCGTACGTCTACGCCTCGGTGGCCATTACCGAGAGGCAGGTCGACCAGCTGCGCCTTCATCAAGTGCACGCGAAGCATCGCGGCACGGGGCTCGAGGGATCCTGGCGGGCTTTGCAAGCCCAGATCCGCCTCAGCGAGCCCGAAGGCGGTTTCCCCACCGAGATCATCGACGGCACCCTCGGCGCCATCCGCAAGGAGCTTTTGACCCGGGAGGTCAAGCTTGCGACCAAGGCGGCCGCGGCCAGCCGAGCATCCAAGGCGGGGAGCGGCGATCCTCCTCCCCATTCGAGCGGCCAGTCGGGGAAGCGCGGGAAGAGGCGCAATCCCCCTCAAGCGGCGCATCCATCTCCGGACGCGTGACCGACTTCCCGTATAATCGCACCCGCGGCCGGCTCTCAGCATGGCGGAGGATTGGAGCGCCGTCGCACGTTCTACGTTGGATCCATTCGGGTGTTCCGCTGCCTTGGGGCCCGCAGGGCGCTCCCCCGCCCTTCGACCTGGGCGAGTACCCAATCCGTTCGGCGGAGGAGCAAGCGGGTTGGGCGTCCCTCCGCGAGGAGTACTTGGCTACGGGGGCGATCGTCAAGGTAGATCCCGGCCCTCAGTCGCGCATTTCGCGCGCCTTTTTGGTAGAGAAAGGGCGGGAGGATGGCGTTATGAAATACCGGCTGTGCATTGATTTACGCCGCGTTAATCGCCATCTCCGGAAAATGGGATTGAGATATGAACGGCTTCGGGATTTTGGTCATTTGTTGAAAAAGGGGGATTTTTTAGTAGGGTTTGATATCAAGGACGCATATCACCATTTGCGTATGCGTCTAGTTGATGAATGCTTTCTTCAATTCAGAATGGGAGGTGAAGTGTTCGCATGTCAGGCGCTGCCCTTTGGACTATCTTTGGCTCCTTATTTTTTCACTCATTTGATGCTCGTTGTCACACGTTTCCTTCGATCACCCCGATCGTGTGCCAAGGCGGCGAAGCGGTTTCGTTTCGGCTGTCTAGCGGGAAATGACTCGATTCAGCGCTATTTTCTGTGCTATTCCATCGCCGATCCCGCTGTGATCTTGGCTTATTTGGATGACTTTCTTGCCGCTATGAGTGATCCGGACCAATTGCGAGAATGGTCCAGCTTGGTGAGGGAGATTTTCCAGGCGTTGGGAATTCGCTTCAAGGACCGGAAATGTCAGTGGGATCCAGTCCAACGCAAGCGGCATCTGGGGATTGTGATCGACACTCGCACTTGTCGTTTTTCGGTTCCGATGGACAAAGCGGCATCCATTGCCGCCCGGGCCCAAATTCTTCGGGAACGGCGCTGGGTGGTGGCTCGAGATTTGGCCCGGTTTTGCGGGCAGGCCATCTCCCTTTATTTGGCCTTCCCTTTGGCTTGGTTTTTCTTGCAAGGTCTTTATGGGGTCCTCCGCACCAAGCGGTCTTGGCGGGATCGCCTCCGTTTGTCGCCCCAGGCGTGCCTCGATCTGGAGGCTTGGATCAACATTGATCGGTGTGAGGGTCGCCCGCTGAATCCGGACGCGATCCCCTTTGCGGGCACCCTTGCAACGGATGCCTCTTTGCGGGGCTGGGGCGCTACTTTCATGCCCCCCCATTCTGATCGCCCGCAACTGGCGCGGGGTTTTTTCGATCGATCTTTGACGCACATCAATGTGCGTGAAATGTAGGCGGTGGCCCTGGCCATTCGGGCGTTTTTTCCGCTCGATTTCCCCTCGATCTTGGCCAGGCTGCGCCTCCTAGTGGATTCGCAGGTCGTCCTTTTTTGCATCCGCAGCATGACGACCAATTCCGACCAACTTTGGGGGCCCCTCCGCCAACTGCAGCGGATCTGTTCGGCCCGCGCCCTCTTGATCGATCCGGAGTACATCCCGTCCAAGCTCAATACGATTCCGGACCGCCTCTCGCGGGTCACGGATGGGGAGGATTACCGCCTACACCCGGCCATTTTCCAGGCCATTACACAGCAATTCGGACCCCGGACGATCGATTGTTTCGCTTCCCAACGGAATTCCCTCTGCCCCAAGTTCAATTCGCGGCATCACGAGCCGCTTTCAGCGGGAGTGGATGCATTCCTCCAAGACTGGACGGGCGAAGCCAATTGGGCCAACCCGCCCTGGTCGCTCCTTCCACGCCTTACAGCATTCCTGACGGCGCACCCGGAGGTGGAAGCGGTCGTCCTTGCTCCGGACTGGCCGTCGGCGATGTGGTTCCCGCGGCTGAGGCGGCTGGCCGCGCGGGAGATGGCCATTCCTCGCCAGGCGGGAATGTTCACGCCGGGGGATCCGTCTCTCCCGGCCGATCTGCCTCCCCCTCGGTGGAATTTGCGGGCCTTCCACATTCGCCCGCGGCTGCCGCGTCCGACCCCAGCGCTGTGACGCCACGGTCCTCCCCCGGATCGCCGGTCGCGGACCCTCTCCCGGTGGAGGTCATGCCTCCGGACCACCCGCTCTACGGGTGCGATGTGGATGGCCTCTCGTCTTCGGATCAGTTGTGGATGCAGGCCAAATTCCTCTCGTTCTACACGGAATCCACGCGGCGGTCGATGCATACCAAATACTCCAAGTTCGCCTCCTTCTGTGCGGCGCACGACCTCAAGGCGCTTCCCGCGCGGCCATCGTCCATCTACCGCTACATCCGCTTCTTACGGGAGGAAGGTCGCGTCGGCGTTCGCAGCCTTCCCCAGTACCTGGCTGCCATCTCCATGGTGCATCAGTCGATGGGCTACCTCGACTTCTCCGCCTTCGATTCGGTCACTCGGCGGCTCACCAAGGCTTGGCGTCGGGCCGACCCGGAGCTGGCCCATTCCCATCGCCCGGTTCCGACGGAGGCCCTCCGCGCCATCCTGGAGTTCGGCTTGACTACGGGGGATCTGCGCCTCCTTCGCGCGGCTTGCTCCGCGGTCTTTGATTTCGTTTTCTTCAATCGGGCGCAGAGCGGACATCTGATCCTCCTTGACGACCTCCGCCTTGAGAATGGCCTCATCGTCTTTCGCGAGCGGCGGACCAAGCTCAGCGCCAATACCGACCCCCGGGTGCGCTGCCGCTCTTGGCCTTCCAGTGGCGCACCGGCGGTCGTCGATCTTTTCCTTCGCTGGTCTGCGGCCCGGGACAAGGCGTGGGCGGACGCCGGCTCCTCTTCGGAGCATTTCTATACCTTGCCGGGGGAGTCCGACCCGTCTGCGCCCATCGTCTCCAGCTGGTTCCCCGCCCTCCTGCGCACCCTCCCTACCCCTCCGCCCGAAGCCTTCGATTATCACGGCCTTCGCGCGGGGGGCGCCAGCGCCTGCTACTCGCTGGAGGTGCCGGAGGGGCGGATACGCGCGTGGGGCGAGTGGCGCAGTAACGCCATGTGGAAGTACATTGACGTGTACTGGCTGCCGTCCGAGTGGGACTACCGCCTGTTTGGATGGATGACGATTACTGCGCGTGACCTTCACGCACAGTACAGGCACATCTTCTGCCCCGGAGGGGCGTCATCGGCCCGAGTGTGACCAAGGCATGACCACGCCTTCGCTCCGGAGGAGCTGCACCGTGCCCCAGAGTGAATGGGCACGTTCAAGTGGGTCGCCTATCGGGTCTTGTTTTAGTAAGGTGAAGGACACCAAACTGTGTGCATGTAATGTATTGTCGTGTGGGGAACACGGGGGGGGGTTGAAGGAGACCGGTAAGGCAGAAATATAATTAACTATCCTGTTAATGAGTTTCTGCCTAGGACGACGATGGGTGGGCGCGGATCGGCCAGTCTGGGCCGTTCCATGACTTTGGCCAGTTTGGGGGCCATCACTAGGCTGGTTTCTGTCACCCCTGTACTCGGGGTCATTTCTGCCCGGCGGATCCAAGGGCAGTTGGGTTGAGCCTTGTACCTTGGACGCAGCCAAGGGGACCGGTCAAGCTGGCCCTTGGGTTTGGCGGGGAGTTTGGTGGCAAGTGGGAGCGGCTATTTAGGCGCGACCCTTGGCGCCCCCCTTTATCTTGTTTCGCACCCGCCCGGCCCACCCGAATAGTGTGAGTCCGGTTAGCTGTGGGATGGAGAGGGAGTTGAGTACGAGGAAAGGGGAGCTGATTCTGGGTTGAGTCACCATCAGAGTGGCGTTGAGTACTATGCGAAGCGAGGGCACGTTCAAGGTGGTCGCCTATCGGGTCTTGTTCTAGTAAGGTGAAGGACACCAAACTGTGTGCATGTAATGTATTGTCGTGTGGGGAACACGGGGGGGGTTGAAGGAGACCGGTAAGGCAGAAATGTCGTAACTTGCTCGAAAAGCCTCCCTCCAGCGTTCAATCTTCAGCGATGCGTCCAAAACATCTCAGTTGACTGCCTCTAGTTCTGTGCGCACCGCTTCCGATATTCAAACTTTCAACCATTTATGGTCGCTTCGGTGGTGGCTGCTTGTCCATCTTGAAAATCATCTGGCAATGCGCCACAATATTAAGTAATGCCAGCATGTAGCGTTGGCATCGAGAAAAGGATTGACGCCAAGGATGGGGGTCGTATGAGCTTGGCGCCAATTTGACACTAAGCGTACCAAAAGTGGCGTCGTGTTTTCCCTGACTTGCTGAAACAACGCAGAACCCACTTGCGACCTTCCCCTGCCCTTCGATTTCATGGACAAAGGAGAACCTTGGGGACAAATGCCTGGCAACTTGTGGGACGGACAAAACCAAACAATGTCTACTGCATTTGCGCCCGGGGCAGTACCAAATCTCCATGCACGATTCTCTAATTGTAACTAAGGCATGCTTCCTAGCTGGTGCACACTTGATTGAATGCGCCCTGGTTCGCTCCTTTTCAATTCCGCAGACACTTCATCCGATTGTACGCGATTGAAACTTGCCAGAGAAGCCACACACACCACTGTACCAATGGGTCCGTGTAGTCGTATAATCAAATCTCCGGAGAAATCAAGGTACAAAAGCATACACAAATCAAAAATCCATAAAAGCCAAAAATACCCAAGGATTGTTCACGATGGGCGGCATGGAATTTCGCCCATGTGATGCCTCCAATGCACCGTAAATGGTGGATCATCCTACCTTATCGGAAGCCTTCGCTTCGTATTGTTCAAGGCAGAACTGCATAGGATTTCGCATCACCAATTAACCACTATGACGGCGTATCAGCGCGCCGGAGCCAGCTGCCAGGAGATCCTGACAACGCAGTGGTGAACGCAAAGAGCCTGTGTAGGTTGATCACTGCAAGTCGAACGGCATCCTCTGCGAGGATCCCTGTACTTCAGCCTGAACGAGATTCTAAACGGTTCTTCGCCATCCCATTGTGCATCGTTCAGAGACAGTACACCAAGGAATCCATCTACCCTTGTTCGCCCGCTGGCATCACAGCATGCTCAAATGCGCCAGGCACCCACCGAAGATTAACTCTGGGGCAGCTAGCCCTCTTCCAACGAACGCTCTGCAACGCCTACACGCTGCTCCTCTCGGGTGGCGGACGTTCTTGCATCCAATCTGTTCCTTTTTCAGGTACGGCCTCGCGCGGAGGGCCCGCTTGCTCCCACGCCGGCCCGTCAAATGTAAGCTCCCCGAGGCACCTCGCGACCGTCTTCTCGACGAACCACCCGGCCGCCGCTTTGGCCAGCGACCATGCCCTCCCCCCGCATCCGTCGGGGCGCCCCTCCAGGTCGCGCTTCAACGCGGCGAGCAGCTCGAGGGCAAACCACGCCAGGAGGCCCCCGTTGGCTGCCAGAATCGCGGCCGTGGAGAACACGCGCCAACCGTGCGGCGCGCCCCCCGAAGCAAACGACCCTATGAAAAATGTGGCCGTGGAAGTTGTCAGGGATGCAGCCTCCAGCCTGTTCAGCTTGGGCGTCTGGAACGGCGCGGCGCGCATCTGGAGGAACAACGCCGCAGTCAGCACGCCCAGCACGAGCGTGTTCTGCCTCTGGACGGCCAGCGAGTCGCCAAACACGAGGACGACGACGACCAGGAGCTTCCGCGTCAGGATGACGGCCTCCCAGAAGAACAGGTCGGCCGTGTACGATCTGTACAGGAATCCGTAGTCCCGAATGCTCTCCGCCCTGTGCAGCCGGTCGCGGCGACGGGTGAGGAACGCCAGCAGCGCGAGGGGTACTCCCAAGCAGAAGGCGACCAGCCAGGTGGCTCCCAAGGTGGCGGTCAGCATTCTGTGGTCTCCTTCAAAGCACTTCTGCCGCGTGTCGACCTTCCAGAAGCTGCCCTGGGCAGTGGCGTTGCCGGCGTACGGCAGCGACGGGTCGTCTGCGTCTACGTCCACGCAATCGAATATTTCCAGGGTGCTCCTGACCACGGACGGGTACGACAAGAAGAGGGCGACGAAGGCCGTGACCAAGACGTTCCTGTAGAAGAACCTTCGCACTGACGCTGACTTGCTGGGCATGAGCGAGAGGAGTGCCCAGAACAGGGTCCCGGCGCACACCATCATGACCGGAAAAAGGGCCACGACGATTGCCCTCTTGATTGATCTTGGAAATCCCGAGTCGTTCAGAATGCAGTCCAGAGCTGCAAACGATGCAAAATTGACATTGCTTGGCGTTTCTGCGACGCAAGCCACATGCTTTCTGGTAAGATTACTTCTGGGGTGTTCGAGGTGCAACTATGCCAATTGAACAGGCCTAGCACAGCGCAATGTGATTCCAAACCAGGCAATATCTGCAAGTGAACGTGAACGCATTCAACGTTGTGACACTAACTGACAATTCGGTTTTCTAAACAAAAAGATTTGGCCCCATGTAATACCCTGCCCCAAATATATTGATGTCCTTGAGATATCTCGCATGTGATGCATTTTGATTCCCTAAGTGGCATGACACTGCCCTTGCACCTGCAAAGCTAACCTGTGCTGATTCAGCATATCCCAGTGCTGCCACCGATTCATATTGCAGCCTCCTGTATTATAGGACGTATGTTGCATGGTGCCCTCAATTCAAAGCAAACGGAAGGGATTTACTCAAATAGCCCACTAATGGGCGATTGGCGGCAAACGCCATTCGCTTGCGCTCGATGCCACCCACATTAAGTAATGCAGTCCCTAGATGCGCAACAGATGCCCATGTGTGTGTCACTTGGTGCCTGGGACACCTCAGAAATGACTGAGATTTCACCCATACAAACGCCGATGAATGTGCTGCATTCAGCCGGTGGTTCACTCGTTCTGAAAACACTGACCTGATCGACCCCACATCAACCATGCAACCTGTGTGCGTGCAACTGGTACCACTTGGTGTACGCCCGGGCCAGGGAGCAGGCTTGTTATTTACGTTCGCGTTGCGTTCTGCGTTCACGTTTTTATGTGCAAAGACATAAATTTGCAGAAGGGCTTATTTTGAGGCTGTATTTACGTTCTTGCGGCTCGCTGGGACACTTAGGTTACATGATAAAAGTCGCGTAAAGTAATCAGTCTTTCGCTCCTTCGAGCATACGCCACATAGCGTCCACCTGGCCCTCGGCAACGACGTCGTCAAACGAATGTTCGTTTTCTGCTCACTCTAGCGCGTCTAGCTGCTACTACCCGGACTCCACAAGTCCATATGTACTGTCTTTATGTACACGGGCGGGTATTTACGTTGTACTTAGTTTTACGCCTTTTAGGCGGAAAAAACACAAATACTATTTCTACGCATAAAACGTAAATACAACCTGAGGAATGAGGTGAGGCTATATCAGGGGAATGCACCGCTTGTGGACCCGTAACTTGCATTCAAATGTACATACAGCACACTTTGTGCACATGTACTGCATGCGGATGTGTTAGCGCAGGCTGCACAACAAACACATCAGTCCTCTTCCAGACCCAGAAAATTAAGTCCGCATGATGAAGGACCCCCCCAACCTCCCCAGCCCACCCCCACCCCCCGTGACCGTGAAGGAGCGCCCGTGTCTGTGCGCGCCAAGATGATGCAGCGCGAGCCTCACCTTCTGCCTTCAAAAGGTCGTCCACGGGATCTGGCCAGTCCAGGTCTATTATTCTCGCAAGGCCCATAACTTGAAAGTAGCTAACGAGCACCTGGCATCACACAACTCGCGATTTACACATGCATTTAGTTGAGTGGAATATCCGAATGTGTGTGTGTGTGTGAGATGATGAACAGTATGAGCATGGACACGAGCACGTTCGCCTACGGTGAAAGAATGGCCTGATAACTACATTTTTCTGTGCTTCTAACTTATTGCCGTTACCGGCTCTGAATCTTACGCAACAAGGTCAACTCAATAAACCGCTACTTGCCGCCGAACAGCAATTTGTACCTATGTAACGCATTTCGCTCAATATCACATTGTTAGTCTTGGACGAGATGGAACGGCCATTTCGTCCATTGGGCTTCCATTCAGATCCGAGCTGAAACATTAATCCCCCACGTCTAAAGAACTTTTCCTCATGCTGGCTGATCGAAGGGGTTGCGATGAAGCGAGTCAATAATTATAGCGCTGCAGAGCTCCTTTGCTCACCTTCAATATATCTGAGGTGAGATATGTCGAATTGCCATCGTCGTAGTGTATGTTCGATTTTACTTGCCAGGCCAAAAAGGCGGTGACAAAAATCACTTGGGCAGCAAAAATGACCCAATCGGCATCTCCGTTGCATTTGGTGCAGATCCCCTGTTTTTCAAACCCATATCCTGGAGCGCAACTCCCGCAAAGCACATCTGGAGAAGAGCACAATCAAAATGCAGGTTTCACCCTCCATTAGGACTCAAGCGAGTGCGAGTGCTCGCATGACAATCTGGTGCATCCACATCAGGAGCCACGGCAACGAAGTAAGCTGAAAAGAATACAGACATGGAATGCACAAATCAGCCACCACGCTGTTGTCTTTTTCCCGTTATCTTACTGCAGTTGGAGCCACCCATCGTACAGAATGTTCTGGCACCAAATGCCATCGCATTCATACTTCTTAAACAACTTGGTCGACGTGGTATTGAAACAATTTCCGGGAATTCAAGCAGTATCGGACTCCCAAGCTTGCACGCATCACATCGCGACTGGCACGGCTGCACGGTACAGTGTCTGCAACTGAAACAACGGTCCTGTGAAGCCCGTTTCCAGGCACTGCAATTCCCAGAAACTAGAAGCTGCAGTCATGGCCGTGTAGCATTTTAAACACCCTGCCGCTGTCGTTTCAGAACGTCTGCGCCCCACCTTTGTAACCTTCGGCGCACTGGCTGTAATTTTCCAAGTCACTGAATTCTCCGCTGGCGTCATTCAGGGACCGAGATCTCAGCAGTGACTCCGTTCGATTAGGGTATGAACATGCCGCCATGTTTATACACTTGTGAATCTGTGTTGACAGCGGATGCGAATGCCATTGGCCGCTGCTTGGAACCATGCTGCTGCCACCCCGGCACACGGCCCCTGCACAGTACATTGTTCCACTCAGTGCAGCCAATCCCAACCCAGTTCGGAAACTTGGAACAATAATGGTTCTTAAAGGGCACAGATGTCAGAGAGGTCATCCTCACAACAATCAACATTTGTAGCTGCCGAAAGCAGTTGCATCGTCGGCATACAGTTGAACCACCAAAGTTGCATAATGTGGACAAAGAAGTGGAAGAGCACAGAGATATGCTTGCCATGTGCACTTTGCAGATTTCGATTCACGAAATTGCAAGAACGCCTGACAACATCAGCACTTGGTGAGTACTGTATCTAATGAGCTCACATTCACCGGCTTCGCGTCATACAGGAAGGCGCGCACAATCCATGATAAACAACGATCATCAGCCTGGCGCCTGTAAACATCGTCGAAAAGGTTGAGGTTTCGTGATGTCCATGGAGCATTCCACACTAACCATGCACCATGTATCGATCAAGCTACTGCTATGGTTGTTGACAGTCGCCAAAAGACAGTGAGCACTGGTTGACCGCTTAGCACATCTGCTGGATCCAAGTGCATGGCCTACCTCCCGGGCATTCATCACATGTGGCGTTGTTGGGATTGAAGCTGAATCGCCCAGTGGGGCAGTTCCGGCAAAGCTTGGCATTCTCATCCACAAGCTCACCCGCCCTGCATGCCGCCACTTTCACCGTGGCATTTACCGGTGACACTCCCTCCAGGGATGTGCTGAAAAGTACAGTGGCGTTACCTGACAGCATCAAACCACGGGGAATGGGCAGCAGCAGAACAGTCATGTAGTTCGAGCGCATTGAGTTCGCAGTGAGGGCTATGCATTCACTTTCCAATGCCTCCTTGTGAAATTTGGGCACGTTCACCGTCTCAGAGCGAATGGGGAGCCCCGAAACAGATTAAATCATCACCTTTCAAAGCAAGGCATTCCGTTGCCAGCGATGGGGAGTAATATGACAAAAAACTTACAAGATGCTTATAACTGCTAAATCAAAGTTTTCAAAAGCATCAAGATTCTGCCCATGAACGTTCAGAGTGAATGAATGTCACGAGTGGCTGAATCAGTTTTGCGACCCTGCACACATCCTCACTTGGCTTCGTGCTCACTGGTGCCCTCAAGACTAGAAATGCGAAGACGGCCATCCCGTCGATAGCTTCAACCAAAGTTTGTCCGGTAACCTCCACTTCTCCCGACGTGGGAGATGCGCGAACGAGCAAAGGCCCGTCGGTCGCAGCACCTGAAAAATTTGCACATTATTTCTTGGTCCAATGTTCAATCGCTCGCCCGAAAGCGATGTGCAAAGCAAGGGCGAAAAGGCTCCAGGTATTGAGCGGCGAGACCTACTGACACAACGACCTGGTTTGCATCAGCACAGCGCACACGATATTCACAATAGACCTTTCCTAATGAAGCACGTGTGTCTCATTCGCAACGTATATTGAACGTGCCTTCGTCTCAAAGGCACAGATTTCGCGAGAAACTGAAAACCACAATGAAAAAATGATTCAATTTGACGATGAACTTACCAGTGACGACGTTATCGAATTCGTCCAGGGCCATCACTGTGATTCTGCTAAGAATGTCTCCACTTCTATGCTCCTTGAAACTGCCGCTCATCTGTACAGACAGAGTGCGAGGGGGGCCAGCAAAAGCGTTGCCAAACCCGTCCATTGCGAGATTTTCCGTCACAGAAAAATCCTGGCATTCGCCAGATTCAATTGCAAATCTCGACAAGGGAAAGTCTTGGCCTTCTGTGCTGTTGCATTGAATGAAAATGTTTGACGGAGAGACGGAAAAAATGGCTCCACCTCCTCCCCCAACAGCAGAATTTGAAGTGATTGATGCCAATTGCAGCTGGAGGACCGAGAATGCATCCACCCACAGGGCCCCTGAAGATGTGCGGATAACAGAGAGCAAGTGAGATACCACAGGCATAGACAGCACGATTTCGGCGGAAATTCTTGCGCGGATTAATGTGCAGCCGTAATTGCACCTATTGTGCTTAAGCAGTTCATGGGATCTGAGCTCGTATTCCAACACACACATTATCACCGAATGAATACTTCTTTACTGAAAGGATTCTGGTAATAAGGAAGTACAATGCACCTTACAGAAAAGTGGTTGATTCGCAACTATACACTTCAAGACGTTAGATTGAGAACCGAATTTGCATGTTGCGCGATGACCCACATTGTTTTACCATCACCAAGATTCCGATTTTTGTCTTTAGCCATTTACATCCGCAAATCAAGCAAGAACATTCAAACGAGCATTCGAGAGAATTGAATCGCAACGGCATGAGGAAATAGCCACTTCCACAGGGCGCTGTTGAGTCAATTCTGTTCGATGCCAACATCGATGCCACAGCCACAACCGTTGATGGCACAGCGCGCCTGATGCAAATGTCCAACGTAATTGCAGGTTGCCCATCAGCTATCCGGCTAGCCTGAATGGTTCATAGTAATACCCCACGTATCAATATATGTTGCCGCTATCAGCAACCTGTGGGAAATTTTGTTCACCACCAGAACGGAGTTGGCCAACGGCTTCCCGCCCCACGAATCACTGCAGCAACAATGAACGGAAGTCCCTTTTGGGTCAGCGGCTCAGCACTTCGGGCCACATGGTTGAACCCGTTCTGCCTGTCAGGCACAGAGAGTGCAAGCGTGTGCCACCAGGTTCTGTACCACATTCTATATCAGCGGCGGGGCATTGTTGGGTGATCAAAGCGCAGCCATGCCACAGGCTCCTTTCCGCCCACTAAGCGCTAGTCGTGCAAGAGGCAGTCGTATTTCATTTATCCGCAGAGCAGACTGCACTACTTGTAATGAATTTCACAATAGCTGCCACATTTTTATTTCAAACCAATAATTCACAAGTAAATCACAGATGCAGCAAGTAAGTACTTCATAATTGGTACTGGTTTAAGTCACATCCCCTGTATTTCTTACATTGATGTACGCGCTGATCTTCAAATGCAGCCATGTATCCTGCAGTACGGACGGCCTATCCGTCATCTGTGAAACGATGCATAGAGTCTCACCTCCACTCGTTGCCCTGTTGGATCCAAAAGCGCAATCTCTGCAAACGGACGATCTCCTGTCGTCAATATTGGTGTTCGAGCCAAGCTTCAAGCCTCCTCCCTCCCGCTGTGCACTGTTGCCCACGAACCTCATTTGCGTGCCGTTGAGAACCGAAAATCGTCCGAAGAAAGCGCCGCCTCCACTCCCGTTGGCAACATTATCCACCAGCCTCACATCCTTAAGCAGTGCCTCGATGCCCCTGAGCAACATACCCCCGCCATCCGCGCCAGCCACATTCCCCTGAAAGGTGGCGTTCATCATCTGCAAAGTGTCGGTTAGTAACATGACAGGATCTCTCATTGTGTCGATCGACAAATCTTCTCCAGAACTGACCAGAGCAGTTCCGAACACTGCGCCCCCATCCCCGCCTCGGTTTTCAGAAAACGTTGTGTTCTGCAACGAAATCAGGAGGTTGACCTCGATGCCTGCGGAAACAGCGGATAGGCATCAACACTTCTCGAGTCTTCTGCTCACCCACCATGCGGCAAACAGAATTTTTGTCCCTGGTGCTTATCACACAGCACCTTGCGTGAGGGACACAAAAACAATGCCCCCCCCCCAAAATGCGAGCCCAGCGGGTGTCAGATACAGAGAGCTTTACAAATGCTTGCATGCTTCTACCCCAGGTACAATCTACTTGGTTTACTTTGTGTGGAATCCTGTCGGTGTGATAACGGGTATCAATGGTCACAAGAGAGGAAATTATGCGCACCTGCTTGTCTGTATTCGAAATGCAGGGCGCCTCCAGTAAGGGTCGCAGAATTGCGGCGGAAGGTGGAATTCCGTATTTCCATTCCGTCCCCTTCGCTGAAGAACACGGCACCTCCGGATATCTGCGCCGTGTTGCTGGAAAACTTTGCGCCATCGAGGCTGCTGCTTGAAAAAGACCCCATGAACAAAGCCCCACCACTGCGGGCCATGTTTCTGACGAAAGAGGTGCCATTGGACACTTGGAGCACGTTTGACCTTATGAAGCGGGTGGAAAACTCACGGGTATTCTGATGAACCACATGCACATATTTAGGATACATGGAGGCAAGCGAAATGGCATCGCGCTTCTCTGTAAACGAAAATTTTAGCATGTTTGAGAAGAGCTGACTAATTAAAGATTACCTGGATATGCTGTTTTCAATACAATTGATGCCTTTCTTCCTAGAAGTGCGTACCCCAGTACAAGTATGCAAACACTTCTTATGGTTGCCAAGCAATGTGGAATGCCCATTTCCGCCTACTAAATGGCTCATTCCAGAAATGTACGTTTCAGCACCAATGAACCTACGAAATTGTGTGAATCATAATCATATGGTAGGTGCAATGATCGGGCCTATTGTGATGAATTCGGAAAGGGCACAACAATCTGTGGCACCGGCATAAGGGATTGTTCTTATATCCGCAAGATAAAAGTAAGCATTGGATGGGGTCGGGCAAAACTAGCACAATTCAGAGATGGTAAGTAATGCTGTGCGTGGATGCCAATTCATTTACTTCAAACTATGCCAAGAACGCAAAATCGATGATTTCATTAGAGGATACTTCAAACATTTCCTGTGCTTGTCAAGTGGAAGTCCAGGCACTGCACATTCCATAATATGCTCACATAAAATGACACAGAAAGCAGACACATAAACCGATGGCGCCGTGAAGGCATAATGAAATTGACGAGCCAACGAAAATGAACCAAACGGACTAAGACCGTCTGCGCCGTCGCTTCAAGCTGATTCTCCCACCACCCACCGTCAAGGCAATGGCACCTCCGTTCGACAGCGGCGAGGCGTTTCCAAGGAAAGTGGAGTTGGAGACCCTGACCCTGCTTGATCTCGCGCGAATTGCACCCCCTCCAGGCCTCGAAGGTCCACCGGTGCCATTCGCCATGTTGCCAAGGAACTCTGCATTGTCGACTGACAAATCAGCATTGGCATCGGAGGAGATGGCACCCCCACCAGCGCCGATTGCCGTGTTGCCAATGAACCGAACGTGCGTCAGGTCCACTACAGCCCTGAGGGCAGCGCTCTGGCCCGCTGAGAAATCCTTTAAGTCCATGTCCAACGCGAGAGCCTCCCGATCGATGTCCACCTCGACCTCATCGTTGATGAAACTCAGAGACCCTTGCGCATGGAGGGCTCCACCCAACACCAGGGCTGTGTTGTTTTGAAAGACGACGCCGTTCACAGCCAGTCTGCAATTGTCCATACAGGCGACGCCCCCGCCAGACAGACCTTTGTTCGCAATAATCTCTCCGTTCGTTAGATTTGCAAGAATCGCTGAAACTATGCCCAATCTACCACCCTCTGAGAATAATATACCTTCTTGATCGAAAGACAAGGCGCCAACCCTGAGCCCTCCGCCGAAGACCGTCACCGGAGTCACTAGGAAACCACCATTTCCTGATATTAGAAAATTTGACAACGTCACATTTGTGCCTCGACCAGAAATCCCAGCACCAGACACTGCAGAATTGTTTACGACTGTCAGGCCCTCGGCAACGATTGCCCCGCCATTCGCTTGTACTGCACCACCTTCCTGATTTGCTACATTCCTGGAGAAGGTGGTTGCCTCCATTGTTACTGATGTATTCAAAGTATAAATTCCACCGCCTAATCCCGCTTCAGCTCGATTATGTACAAAGGAAACATTCCTGAACCTTGCCGATCCTTGTACTATGCGCAGGGCTCCACCTGTCACACCTGCTTTGTTGTCTATGAATTCGACATTGACAAGAGTGATGTCTGCTTCAAAGAAGAAAACCGCACCCCCATTGACAGGAGCTCCATTCCCCAAAAATTCAGCGTCCGTGATAGAAACGTTTCCTTGGATCGTGGCAGCAGCACCATTTGCTCCACTTGTGTTGTTGAGGAACTTTACGTTCCTCACTTCGAGCTCACACCCATCGCGGTTGCGAATACCGCCCGCTGCTAGGGTATTGCTGTTGTTCCGGAAGACAGAATGGGAGACTCTCGTGCGCCCGCTGTTTGGCTGGCAGTCTCTGATCTCGATCGGTGCTCCAATTGGGGTGAACGGCGCCCCTGAGAATATTATGTTACCCTGAAGATCGAACGCCGCTCCTACATTGAGTGTGCAGTTCTCCACAATGATGTTGGCGATGGATACTGCGGTTGCTCTGTGAGAAATCAAGTGGGAAATCAAGTGAGTGGCCAGCAAGAAGCAGTGTTCCAATGAGATATTCTTGCACCTTACATTGCCAGAGAAGTCTGGCAAGTGGCCTGCACTGACTGTAAAACTAACAAAAAGAAAGATTTCGACAAGAGCGGATCAAAATGAAACTTAGAGCACATACTTCTGCAAAGTGGAAATTGTTTTCCACAAGCATGCTATGCTTTGCGCCCAGAATAACATTCATGTTCCAACGCATAATTACACTTTTGTTGCAGGGCGCCCACACAGTGTGTCCACACTTTTCATGAATGATTGATATTCTTGTGAGCAGTTCGCATGTCTGTGAATCTCGCGTCAGAAAACTCAACCATACAGTACATTGTCACTGGGAATTTGCCAGCTCGCCGCAGCCTCCTTCAACATCACAAGCACTGCAACCATCTTGCCCATACGATGCGCGACGATGTCTCCAGACACGCTGCTGTTCTCCTCCAGTTGTAGCACGTCCGGCTGCCTCCCCCCAAGACACACTATGCGCCTGAGACCCAATCTTTGTTCAGACGGTCTTTTCTTACACATTTTTGCGCATAGATTTGGATCGGGACAACAAATCTTTTCAGAACCCCGCGTGAGCACAATTTGCTCATGCGCAAGTAACAAGGCTGTCTCTGTGTTGGAACTTCCAACACAGTGACTGTTTGATGCATTCCAAATGCACTTCCAACTTGGAAGTGCATTGGATGTGCACCAAAATAGTTACTGGAAATTTTGCAATACCCAGCCCTTCACAGTGCACGTGAGTTATGAACAGCAACTACTGATTTCCGTCTGCGCAGTACGGTTGCACGTGACCAAGTTGGAAAAGGATAAAAACAAGGTGAGATCATTGGAGCCCAGTCAATGTGATATCACCTGAACACCCACGACGCTTTTTTTAGGGTATTCATAATCGGCTCCATAACCATTTCAAAAATGAATAAATTGAAGATTTTGTTTCAGTAGAGGCCATAACCGCTTGAGTTTTGACTTGTAGGCAACGTCCTTGTCCCCAATGGGTTTCACCTGTCGCCCAATGTTAAGCATACGATTTCAGATCACTCGCCACAAATACGCATCAACACTCACATGACTTTAAGGATGCCAGGATCGCTTGCTTCTGTGGGGCACATCAAAACTGCTTTTCGATCCAGCTCCGGGATGGGGGCGCCCGCGGCCTCTGCCTCGGCAAAATCGTTTTGAAAATTCTCCCTCCAGGAAGAAATGACAACCCTCTTCTGCACCAGCGTGATGTTCCTTGGCTGCAGGGCGACGCTCGTGTTGAGCAGGAGAAAGTCGCCATCATCCAGGCAATCCACGACCGACTGGAGGTCGCGATCCGCAGCGTCCCACAAAGCGTCGGACAGAACCACCGTCAGCGGCGCACCTTCGACCGTGCGCTCTGGACAGGAAAAGCCTGCGCGAGCAAGGATGCATTCTGAACGTCCGGTGCGTGACTGTGGAGGCCAGCGGGCATTGGCCGCTTCGAGCACGGCCTTCGGCAGTCAGCCAAGGAATGACGCCCATCCCTCTTCCGGTGCTGTTTCCGGCTCGTCTTAAACACGCCGGAAACAGCCACAGCGGGCGCCCTCTGCGGCTCGCTGGCATCGGTTAACGCGCGACAGAGGCTGCGCTGAGCGACCTTTATCCGCCAAAGCAATGTAATGTTGCAGGCGCCTGGCTGCCCCCTGGTCGACGCTGCCTGGGTCATGTCGACGCTTGGAAAGAGGGCACGGCACCGTTGGACAACGCGGAAGGCGCCTTGATCGTACAGCGATGCAAACTAGGGGCAGGGCGATTGCGCGAGCCCTCAAAACATTGCCCTTCAATCCCCGACTCCCCGATCGGGACCCTCAGTTTCCTTCCATCTCTCTCCTCGCACCCTTGACAGTCAGCCAACTGTGCGCATGCGGACCGCCCCTCTTGGCCTACCGCGGACCTTGTGCGTGAGGTCTTGTCGTGGTTCACGACTGGCGACGCTGGGTCTTTGAGTGGCTGCACCCGTCGCGGGTCAGCTGCCCTGGCACAACGCTGATCCGCGACTTTGGATCATTCTCCATTGTTTATCGCTCCCCACATTGGCGCTGGACACACGCCGCACAGCAGCCATTACAGGGGCTCGTCTGGAAAATCGGCGCTCAATGCGCGTCGGGTGGCCAGCCAGCGCCGCCACTTCACAGCCCACCTCACGGCCCCGTGCGCTGCGGTTCGCTTGGATGGCAACGCACGACGGCAACTGCACCGCGGCACTGACTTCCCGCCCCAGAGGTTGTCGCCTGGTGATCGGCCCCAGTCCCTCTTCTGGCGCCACTCCCAGCACCAGAACCGACAGTCGCGCCAACGGCAATGGCTCTCGATGCTCAGCCTGGCGCCATACGACACTTCGGCAGTCGGCGCCAAGGAAACAGGCCAGAAGCAGACATGCTTTCGCGCGCTCTGTCCGAACATTCCGTGTGCGCATCCGGAAGCAACACAAAACGTCCTTGCACGCATATCATGCGCCGCCCACGGGCAACGGCCCGAAAATGAGACATGGGCGCACCGTCGTCTGTCGCGTTCTGCGCATCGACGGTGCTGAACCAGAGGAGGCAAAGGATCGCCGCAAGGGGGCTGCGGCTCCGCGTCCGGTGCATCCCGTTGGACGTCTGCCGAGCCGCCTCCACGAGCAGAGCAAGCGATCCGTCGCCGACGGAAGCCGCCGGCTGCTGCTGCCGCGCCTTCCGTCGACGGCCGCCGACTGTCACCCAGTCGTTGAAGCTCGTTACCGGCCAAGTCAGCGTCATGGAAGGAGCGCAGCTTCAGTAATACGACAAGATGTTGTGCGAGGGAGCACAGGACACTGGATTAACGCAGTTTCGAGACAGCCACCCATTGAAAAGAGTCTGTTCGTTTTAACAGGCGTAGGTGGCGGCTGCAAAGAACAGCTGTGTCTGAACACCCAAGAGCCAAGCCGTCACAGTCACTGTCAATGAGGTGGGACACATGCAAGAATAACGATCGTCAACATCTGATTCAGTAGGTAGAACGTGCATATGCTTTTGATATTCTCCTCTTGAAGGAATATCGTTTGCCACAATCGCACATCAAAGTGAATTGTGGATGTACAGTGATCGCTAGTGCGTATCACACCTTCCTCACTCACGAACTGGGAAGCACTGTGTATTGTCACGTCTTTGTGCATCATCATGAGCGATAGAGGCATGTCGCATCGTATGTGTGCATGCGGCTGCCACTGCAAAACGCTTGCTCAAATGAAGTTTGAGGTCACATCTTGCGCGCAAGACTCAACGATTTACAACTCTGGTAATAAGTCAAGAATACACGGCTCTTGCAATAATCTTCGATAGTCTTGGAGCGTGCAAATTCCAAGACTGTCCTGATGCACGCAAACACGGCAGCATACACATGTCTACATCTTGTGTATTAATTGTTCCATTTGACGCACACCACTTTGCACATACCGATATCTGCAAAGGGCCGCACTCGCGTCCCATCGTGTGGACAATATCACATGACTTTTGTACAAGGCTGCCCGGAGAGCCGTGTCGTGGGAGCTCAAGCATTAATTGGGGATAACATAGAACAACTAGTTCCCAGCCACACAGAGATGAAACACAGTCGTTAAGAAAAGCAAACAAGTAACAGGATGCATCACAGACACGACGTGACTCACAGCTGTGACACAGAACAAATATGAACACTTGACTAAGAAGCATGCGGGTGTGAAATGGAACCCGAACACATGAACATAGGTGGGCGAGAGGCGCAGCCCTCCAATGTACTCAAGTTTGTCACTGGTTGCTAATGTACCTTGGCCATCTGTTCTGGAGTATCGACTTGATGCCATTGAGCAACTTCAGGTGGTCGGGTTGGCTCCTGCGTTGACGCAGCCCCAGCTCAATGTCAAACGTGCCAATTCCCGGTGGTATGCCAAATGGAGCACCCAATTGTGCAGGGCTCCACTTTGGGAGCACCCATCGATCCCGAAACCTTGGTTAGATCACAAAGCAGCGTAGTAGCTCTACAGATGTGCTCCAATTCCGCTTCAGCGCACACTTCCTGCTCTAGAGCCGAAGGGAGGTGGCAGCCCTCGGGCACTCCTTGTAGCTGTGTTGAAGGTATGGCATCACGAAAGATCCAGACCATCATTTCACTTCATGGGCCCTCTTCGTGACCATGATTATATAAGCATCAAACCTCGCTAACACATGCGTGCCCACTAGGCACCCACAACGGCCGGCCTTCTCTCAGCAGGCCCTGCCATTGGACGACCTTCTCACGTATTGGATCGCAGCTCGTGACGCTGCTTGGGCAGACATGGCAATTACTGCACCTTGGCGCCATCCTGGCCACAAAGCTGCCCAGTCCCAACAAACTCCGATGCAATATTGTCGGATTGGTTTATCATCTTCTTGGTAGTGCACCAGGAGCTGACTAAGAACTTCACCAACTTCCACAATCACTATGTTGGAGGTGTCATCGTGTCTTTTGCAGAGATAGAGATCCAATTTTGGTGCGATTGAAAGTGGTCTCGTCTTTTGGGGCTGCATTGACATGGACCAGCTGCCCAGCGAGGCCAACTTCCATACTTCAATTGGATCGTCCAGCATGGACAACAACCTACATGATCCCTGGCAACTCCTTTCTTAGCACCACCCCGGCATATGTCTGGTGTGAGTGGGCAATCCGCAATAACGACCTCAGCTTTCTTTTGGAGTCGATGGCTACTATCTTATCATATGTGTGAGTCAGGTGGGAGAGGATGCCATCAAGTAGAAGTGGGAAATGTAGACTGAGGGTTGATGCAACATCCACCCCCCTTGCCGCATTTTGCAGTCAAAAGCTGAACGAAGGCAGCATCTGGCCATCCGAACTGGGAAGAACAGTTCAACCAGCTGATGAAGACATTGTGTTGCTGATTGCCAGAGCCTACAAATCGCTGCACATGGCCACCAGCATGGATTTGATGTTGAGGTTGTGAGCTCTTTGCTGACAGCTGTGCCAAATCATGGGCACAACAGTCTGGATTTAGCAAATGGAGACAACAACTACGAAGACTAGGGATGAGCACACTTGCAACATTCAGCACATGGCGTGAAGCCATGTAATGTACATCAGCCTGATGTTCAATATAACATTGACTAGATGCCTCTCAGCATCGTGACTGCCCAAGACCATGGTCATGGGAGCTGCTGGTCTGTGACATCTACCATGAGAAGACCTGCTGTGATTTGGGCAGCCAACGTAAAGTACAAATTGGGGAGGTAGTGTCACTCAGCTCTGTGGCAACGAGAATCCGATCATGTGGTGGATTCTACGCTCTTCCATACATGCTAGGGAATGGCAAAGCAAAGCCCATTCCCAGTCTCATGATCCGGAAATGTGAACATGATGGCAGAGGACAAATTGTAGACCATCCAACGTGTTGTAAGAGCCAGCACAGCAGGAAACCACAGTGCAGAACCATTTATAGCACTGGGTTCCACATGGTTGGCAGTCAAATTTGTCCAATTTGTGCTTTTTGAGAGATGACGTCGCTGCTATGCTCTGTGCTGGAGGTGCCATGGTCCATGATTGGGAGTCCTTTGGTGCAGGTCAGGCTCCACGTGTCTGTGAAAAAAATGCATGTGAGGCTCGTTGCAGCTGTGTGGATGGCATGGAATCGCCAGAGAACCAACTTGGCATGCAGGCACGCAGCAGTGGCAGCTGTGGGTCTCTTCATTTTCTCCACTGATGGCACTACTCTGGAGAGCGCTGGTGGGGATGAGGGACCAAAAACGCAAAAGGCAGCGCTTCAGTGCTGCCCGCGCAGTAGAAATGGAGCATTGATTGGATACGCTCAATCGCTGCGCTCAATCTCTGCAACAGTGCTGGGCCCCTAGGCACAGAGTTTGGGAAGGTGCGGCAGTTCGTTCTGCGCCTGCCAGAGGAAGGCAACGTGCGCCGGCGGAGGTGGAGGTCGCACTGGCACCACAAGGTGCCCTAACGCTGAAGCGGATCTACGAGAACACGTGTCCACGTCTTATTCCGAAGAATTCCAAGAAGCACAGAATGGGCAAGATTAACGGACCAAAACAAGCGGCGAATGAGATCGCTGCTGTGTCATGGCGATGGTATGGCATGCCCAGGAGTGTGTCTTGAAGACATAGGGAACGACGCTGGCCCGCACAGTCACCAACGGAAAAGCAACATTCACTCCAGGAATTGTTATCATTTTCTGCACCAGCACGCCCGCGCTTCGCCGGGACCCCCTGCGAGCAAGATGGACCCGATCAATCCATGGATACCTGATCGGCCTGCCCCCGCGTCTGGCTCCTTCACTCGCCAAACGGCAGCCGCCCCACGGCGCGCAACACACCGCCGCACAACCGGCGACGCGACGTGGAGCGCCCTTTCTCGTTCAGGGCCTGGGTCCATTTCTCGTTGAGGGTCCCGAAAGCGAACGAGCCCCGAAGACGCACCCCCTTCACAAGTCCCAATTCGCCGGTTTCTGTTTTGACCCGCGCCAGCAACTCCCGGCCGCCGGATCACCGGATCCCGGCCCCCTCCGGGACCGGGCCGGTCCGGGCCCGGCCCGCCGTCCGGCGCCGCCGGCGGCTGGTTGCTGTCACCCCACGCCCTCTTCCCGCCGGACCCCTCCCCCAGAGGAGAGCAAATCCCTGGCGACGGCGCACCAGCCGCCGCCCCCGCCACCAGCGCCTACCGCACCAGCCGCGCGCGCCTCCCAACCCGCCAGCCCGCGCGACAGGCCAGCCGCGAAGCATCCGCGGGCATGGCGCAGCAGCAGATCCAGGCCGCCGTGCAGGTGGCCCTGGGCGCCAACGGCGCAGAAGCGCTGGTGGGCGGCCTGCTGAGCGCCGAGGGCGAGCAGCGGTCGCAGTCGGAGAAGGTGCTGGACGCGATGACGGAGCAGCACCCCAACGAGTGCGTGGTGGGACTGGTGCGCGTGCTGAGGCAGGGCGGCGGCGCGGTGGAGAGGGCGCTGTGCGCCACGCTGCTGAGGAAGGTACGAGACGAATCCCCCCGGCCCCCCAACCCCAATACATCCAGCCGGTTGCCTCCGACTGGCGGTGGGGATCGGGAGGCCGGTCCACGCGCGCCTCGCCGCGGAGCGCGGCGTGGATGACTGCGGACGGGGAATGGATTGGATTGGTGAATGGATGGGAATGGCATTCGCGCGCCATCGGTCTCTTGGACCGGAGTGGCGCTCTGGCGGCCGCTGTGGGAGTCAATCAGCACCTCCTGCGGTGCTGCGTGATGTGGGAGCGGCTGACGCGCGCGGAGGAAGGGACTCTGCACGGTGGTGCTCGCTGCGCTTGTGGATCTGGCGCGCCGGCGGCTGCCGGATGTCGGAACGGGATGGGCGGGGCAGCCCGGTGGCGGTCGTGACGGCTTATGCTGCTTTCCCCGCAGATCTTGACCAAAGGTCAACCTCCGGTGTGGCCCAGCCTGGCGGCAGCGTCGCAGGTGGGTTCTGTGGGGACGTGGTGCTCAGGATGAGCAAGGGGCGCTAGACCAAGGCGTGGGACTATTGAGGGCGACGGGTGATGTGCCGCGCGCCCGTGCTCTGTGTGCCGCCAGCTGCGAGCACAGCTGCCGTGCTTGGAGTGGGGTCTGTGGGAAACGGGGAAACAGGAATTCAAGATGTAAGACAGGCCAATGGATGGCGCCGGATGTCTACGGGTCAAGGCTGCACATCTGTTTCGAAGTATTGGGCAGCATGTCAGCCTTGTTAGGATGACTTGGCTGACAGATGGGGCTGTGCTTGACGTGCGCTCAGAAACATGAGTTCGGGGTAAAAAGAAAGTTCTGTAATCAATGCAACCGCCCCCTTCTAGCTTCTTTCATATGCCAGTTCATGACTGTGGTTTGGGATAGACGTTGGAAAAACTGCCGCTGCAGTTCCCAGCACGTCCTGAGGTGTTCACTGTGGTTTGACACATCCGGTGCAGTAATGTTGCAAACTGTACAGTGGCATGCCAGCTGTGCACCAGGATAATATTTGAACGTTCTTTGCTGTTGTTGGAAGTGGAAGTGAGCGAAGCAGCCCTTTAGCCATTCGTTGTCCAGAGGTACACAATGGCAATGGGGTGTCCAGGGGTTACCCAATTTCATCTATCACAGAACCAGCAGCATTTTCCACAGGCTGGTAACTCTGTTAGAGCCCAGATGTGTATTGATGCAGTTGTGGTTGTCGTGTGCCAACAAGCTGACAACTCGCTGTCTCATCCACAGCAACTTGTGAAGGCAGAGCTGCTGAACGTTATGAAGGAAGAGAAGGATAGGGACACCCTGCGACAGGTGAGCAAAGATCAACAAATAACCGAGCTCTGCAAAGCTGCACGCAAGCGCAAAGTTCTGAATGGCATCAGCAGCCAATTGAGCATTCTTGATTTTTCATCTCTTACCTTCAGGGTTTGATTTATGGAAATTCTATGGTTCCAAAGCAGTGTTGGCAGACATATCTGGACAGGCTTCACGTCTCAGTCAACACTGTCAAGTACAATATGATGTTTGGGAAGCACATCCGTCGATGCGGAGTTAGAAGGCAATAGTGACATGCTTTAGACTCCAAATAGTGCACAGTGTATCAGTGCCGGCACCCAGACGGCTGGATGGATATTGTTTCTATGAATTGTGCGTCACGTTGTTTGGGTTTGCGGAACTAAAATTCTGATTCTCGGTTGTACACCATTGAATGTGGCATTGCCTTGCAAGTGGGTGTCTTGCAATGGTGGAGAGTCTCCACACAAGATCATTTTCAGATGGAAAGTGATGTTGATGGATTTTTGAGCGACAGATATGTTGCATAATGCATAAAATGTACTGTCCCACAAGGCCTTATGGGTGAAAACACATGTGTGCATTCGTCTTTCTATCCAAAAAGCCGTTTTGAAATATTGCTTTCAACCCTTGTTGAGACTTACAATACTTGGATGAAGTGCTGAGTGGATGGTGGACTGCTGAATTCCTGTGCATTGGTCCAACAGACTGGAGACCTCATAGCTGAGCTGATCTGCAAGGTTCTTGGCAATGAGACATGGCCAGAAGTCATACCCTTTCTCAGCCAAAGCATCAGCTCAGGCGTGGTGCTGAACATGGAGATGGCCCTCCTAATGCTTGCAGACATGGTGGAGGGTATCAAGGATGCGATCTTACCTAATCTGGACCAGTACTGTGGTGCCCTGGCCACCTGCATGGGTCGACCAGAGGCTGGTGTGAAGCTGGCATCCCTTAAAGCTCTGAAATCGTTCATCGTAGTGTTTGATGACGACAGCGAGCGTGTGAAGTTTCAGACAGCAGCACCAGAGCTCCTGAAAATACCTGATGCGGTTCGGCAACAGGTGTGGACGAACTCGTTGCTGTGTAAACTTTTGGATGCACAACAGATGTGCCTACATGCTGTATTGCTGAAAAGATGGTTGCCAACAACAGACTCATCCACAAGATGATGTGGCAGCAATTCTGCTGTGTGTCGGGCTTAATTATTCACTAGCTCTTATTGGTTAGCTGTGAATGGCTGTTGTTTACGTTCACAAAACAACGTTGATTATTCCAGAAACCAAATGAAGGCAGGATTGAGCAGTATCCCGGGATCCACTGCACCATCAAAATACACCAACAGGGCAGCCTTTTGGACTAGAATGGCAGTGTGGGTGTTCATTCATTCTTTTGGCAAACTCATGATTACAAAGAAGCTAGTTGTCTTGAATGTATTGGCAAAGAGCAGCCTTGCACCTTCATGGCGATGCATGGCTTGCAGCCCCTTCGAGCGCATTTTGTACCTGACCAACATGCAACACCACCTATCAGCTGCACTGGCCATGGTTTGTCAGTTTATCATGGCGATGGATTTTGTTGCCAGAGTAGCCATGCCAGACAGACCCCTTGTGGGCGACGGCGGATTCACTATATATCTATATTAGCTATATATATAACAAGGCCGGATATCCGCGCGCGCTGCGCAAGCGCGGTCCTCTGATTAACCCGGCGGTGCAGCATTGATCTATGGGGCAAGGTCACCCACATGTTCCTTGATGGTGACGCCTTGACCTTGATTGTGACGCAATATAGACGGATGCATATTGTGCTAAGGCCAAATAAAAATGGGCCTTGGCAGCCAGTTGAATGCAAGTGAGTTTCAAAATGCATCGAACATGTTTAATCGAAGTGACCTTCAGTCACCTGGACATTATCTTTTAGGATCAAGGTAGGCGCATCAATTAACGCGTGAATGGTGCACCAATCTGCGCATCAATAGATTTGCCAATAGGTGCACTGACGGCAATGTGAAAACCAAGGCAGGTTTTGATAGATGGAACAGAATCGTTTGGATTCATTTTTCTAAGGATCCAAATTATGCGTACTCAGGGAATGTGGTGCACCAAGTCGATGTGGTGAGTGCGCGTATGTTTACAACAGTCGGTGCATTGATTGCAGTTTTATTCAACATGAAAGTAATGGTAGGTTTTTGGCCATTCAGCCCGCAAGTGGACCGGTTGGAACACGGATTGCTGCGCCAGTGAGCGATGAAATGACGGCAGGTTTTGGACCGTTGAGGAAGATAGTAAATGTAACTAAAGGTAGAATTAGGGGCATTGACGGGCATAAAAGTCAAAGGAGTGATTGTGCCAATCTGCGCAACGATTGGGGTAGTGGTCGGTGCATTGATTGTTGCCAGTCGGCATGGAAGTGATGGCAGCATTGGGGCACTGACCAACACACCAGTCGATGCAATGATTGCGGGACCTGTCGGTGGAGTATTCAATGCACCACTCAGTGCACCAATCAGTCCACCAATCTGGACCAGCAGATTATGCCAGGTCGGTCAACAGATTGGGGCACCAGTCAGTGCAACAATCGCAGCAATTGGCATCAATTGGCACCAATTGTTGCCGATTGGCAGGAACATTGTATATCTATGTTAGCTATATATATAATATCCAATGAATGTCCAAGAACATGATTCTGTATATGTCCCAAGATAATGATTCTGCATACTCAGTGCTTGCCATTTTCTTGACAAAATACCGTTCAAAGGATAGCCTCACATTCAGGGCATCATTGCATAACTGCTGTGAATGACAGGGTGACAATGATCCATCGAGGCAAGCCTACTCTGAGCTTATCGACCTTGCGGAAGATTGCCCTGAGTTCTGGCAGCCCTGCCTCCCCAGCGTGACTCAGACGATGATTAACAATTCAAAGGCGCCCAACGTGCCCATGGACGACCGAATGTTGGCCATGGAGTTCCTGCTTTCGCTAATGGAGAGTTCAGAAGATGAAGATGCAGAGCCAGTCCTTAAGGGTGTCCTGCCAGAGCTGCTCGCTGTCTTGTTGGAATTCATGCTCGACGTTGAGGTGAGTTTGCCAAGGAGATGTCGCTTGGCATTGATAATGGTACTCATTGTGTGAATTTTGAACTTATGGGTTGAACATTTCCACAGTTGAAATTCATCATTACAACTATTATTGTCAAAAACTTCATAACAATTGCGGCAAGGAAAGAATGCAATCGCGACTATCAAATTTCATTGTTGTAATAGCATGAATATTTAAAGGTTAACCTACAATTGCCAGCAGTTATCCAACTGCGCTTGTTACAAATGTATAGTTTCTGTCACAGCACCCATTTTGCAATGTGGTTTTAGTGTGTGTGCAGTGCCCAGTTAATGTGTCTATCACAAATTAGTGCGCTAGCAACTATTGGGTGGTCTCAGACCCTGTTCACGTTCACAATGTTTGGTGCCATTCATGGACGAACAGTGCCATGTACTGCTGGCGCACCAGCATAGAGAAGAGTAGAAAAGTTGTCCTTTTGTGAAGCATAAGAGAGGCAAATCTTGCATCGCTTTGCCCCTTTTCAAGCGTAGCATCAATTAGATTGCATCTTGGTACAAGGAAAGGGGCCGCATCTCAAAACTGCTGCAACGCAAGTCGTACTCTGTGCCGGCGGTAAATAATCATCAAAGTTTTATCTCATCAACATCAGTTGCTTGTAAGCTGGTTGTTTCCCTGGTCTGCTCCTCTCGGAAGCCCTGGCGGGTCTCCTGTAGATTGTCGGCTTGTGGGTGTCACCAAATCCTAACCTCTGTGCAGGACGTCCCTCAATGGCATTTGGCCAACGATGAGGAGCATCAAGATGAGGGCCATGGCGACCACTTCATGTTTGGGGAGATTGCTGTCGATCGACTTGCAAAGCTGGTTGGAGGCAAGGCCATGATGCCTGTGTTGGGCCAGATGGTGCCTGTGTTGCTTGGGGACCAGGATTGGAAGAAGCGCCATGCTGTGTTCACTTGCGTTGGTCAAATGGCTGAGGGCTGCACAGATGTGAGTGCGCATTCTCTGCCTCAGAATTTTGGTGCATCTTTCCTTGAGTTCTTGTTGATTTCTGTCACCAAGGGGGTGGTGTTGGGGGTTTGGGGTACTTCAGTTTTACAAGTGTTCTGCTGATCATTCCTCGGGACAAGCTGCTGACAGTAAGACTGGGAGCCCATTGGTATTCAGTATCAGGACTCAGTATCAGTGGTGTGTGCTTTTTTCAGACTGTGCTGTGGAAGGTTGCTTGAATTCTTCCCTGATCCTTCTGAGACTCCCTTTTTGGCACAACCCAGGACCTCCTGCAGGACATGGGCACCTTGGTGTCCATCTGTGTTAAAGGCTGCCAGGATCCCCACCCCAAGGTGCGGTGGTCAGCCTGCCAGGCCATCGGCTTGCTGGTGGACGAGCTTGGTGAGCACCTGGGCTCCTCCGAGTTTCACACCATCCTCACCGCTCTGCACCCCCTCTTCAAGGACAAGTCAAGCCCACGGGTGCAGGCGCATGCAGTGCTGTGCATGGTGGACTTCATACAGGTCAGTTGGCCATTGATGTTGTGTAACTGGCTGTGGCAGTGGGGGCCTGCATGCAATATTGCAGTGTTTTGCTTGTTGCATGGAGCAAGGCACAGCCTTTGCAGCAAATTACTTGCAAGTTGCTGGGCTTTGGATGTGTTTTGTCTTCTTGATGGCTGGGGGTGGGGACTGGAAGCCAGTTTTTCAGTATTCAGAATTTCTGTTAATGTGCATTCTGATTTTGGTATTTCATTTTGTTTGAATCTCAGCTTTTTGTGCTGAATACAACAAAACCCTCCCCCTGCACCCCACACGTGGTGATGAACTGTGGGACCATTCCTGTGAAGCCTTTGACAACTGTCAAGTTTGTCTGTCGCTGTTTCAATGTTGCATTGCATCAGCAATGTTGGAAGCAACTGGCACACCTCGCATTGTCTTCTGCCCGGTTGCTGGAAAGGATCCACTTCAGCAAGTACAGGTCCATGGTGCCAACTGTGGCGTGCTTCTTGGGTACCTGAACAACGTTTCTCCAGAGAAGCTGACAACCTGGGCCAGCAGTTTGATAGGGCAGATAGGCATCTTTCAAACTTTGTGCAGGGTTGTGCTTGTTTAGTTTGGTCCTTCTTGGTGCTTTCTTTTTTCAATCTTTATCCTTTGTTTACTTGGTCATACAGTCGTTTTTTGGGTATAGCAAACACAGCCATCACCCACACAGTAATTTTACACTGTGCATTCATTCAGGACTGCAAGCTGGAGGTTGTGCAGCCCAGTCTGGATGACGTTGTGGCCACCGTGATTGAGATCATGCCAGGAGCACCCTACCTTGTGAGAGATGCGTCCCTTAAGTTCTTGAGCAGCGCCGCAGGGGAGATAGAGGCACCTGAGTTCGCCAAGTACTACACTGCTGTGATGGGAACAGTGAACGCTGCCATGGGGCAGGCTGTCGGGGAGAAGTCGCCAGAGGTGTTTGCGATGATGCTGCACACGATGGCGATGGTGGGTTATGGGACTGCCCTTGAGTGGTGCTGTGCAGCGAGTCCAGTTCCTTTCAACTTGTCAAGCTGTTGTCAGCAGTGCATCGTTGAAAGTCCATATGTCTGTTCTGAGCAACGAGCCCATTTTGATGATCCTTCAAAACCTAATGTTTTCCAAGCGGCATAAATTCCTTGTGGGACACTGATGTTGTCTCATGTGCTGACTTAGGAGAGACAAGTGCAGTGGTTATTGGGTCATTCTCTTGTTGACTTTGTCTGCTGCACGTGGTGGATATAGTTGCATTGTTTATTCATTTATTCCATTCAGCTATTGTTGTTTGGGACAAGTGGCATTTTCCTCTCGCCTGCGACCATTTCCTAAGATATAACATTTCTACCATCACCATTGAGGCGTGGTGGAGCACAGAGGATATTGGCACTCCTCCAGCACGTTCCGTTGTCAAGTTAGCGACCCCACTGTTCAGATGAAGGGAGGAATTGAAAGCATTACTTGATGCGCCCTTTTCATGGGTTGCAGCATGTGAGGTGCCTGGACTGGCGAAGCAGGGGACTTTCCTCATTGCCAAGACCTCTGTAGCCAAAGTGTGGCACTCACTTAATCACAAACACTGCATTCTGCACCCACAGGTTGGGCGGGCATCTGGCCCTTCCTGCTTCTCCCCAGACTGCCCCAAAATGATGGTCTACTACAAGGACATCGTGCAGGCCACTGTGCAGAGCGAGGACTCTGAAGCGGACAAGAGGGATGTGTTGGAGGTGCTGCATGACGTTGCCTCCATAGTGGCCGAGTGCATGGGCCGTGCCTTTGTGGAATACATGCCGCTGGTCATGCCATCACTCATGGAGGCTGTGAAGCTGCAGCCGAGTGTCAAGGTGAGGGACAGCTAACTTTTGGACAGTGCTGTAGCCGCTGGGCTGACGTCGTGGTCCAGCAGGCAGGGCAGGCGGCCGGGAGGGGGAGCTGGGGTGTGCGGCCAGGCAGCTCGACTCGTTTTTGGGCGAGTGTTCAGAGCTAGTTGAGCTGCCAGCATGGACAACAGTACTAGGCAATACTCGAGTTCCAATGGAACCCAAGGACAATGCAGTCTGCCCAAATTGCGCTGATCGAGTACAAGTTACTGCATTTGCCACCAGGAGATGGTGTGAGCAATGTTGGCAGCTATCACATCCACAGGAACAAATTCTTGGGATATTATTAAAAGGAGAGTACTGACACATTTCAATTGTTTTTATTAGTGCATAATGGTACATAAATATTAACAAATGAGTAGTAACAAATACAAAATATTGTGACTTTGGGGGCGGGTATGTAGCCAGACGCCTGAGGCATTATTTGATGGTGCAATTGCTCAGCAGAGCTGCACAATGAGCGCGATGATGCTCTTTCATATTGTGATTCGGACTTTTTGATGGCTTAAAAATCTTCTCAGTATCGTTGCACGATGTGGGACTTGTGAAAGTTGATTTTGGCAGTCCTGCCAACAGCCATGCACCAAAGGCAACTCAGGTTAGCTTGCTTATCCAGTTGATTAGTTTGGTCCATTTTAGTTGCCAATTTGGACATCCTCTCTGCAATGCTTCACCAAGCTAATGAATGTAGACTGATTGGGCCAGTTTGAAACTGCTAGCCCTTTTGTAGGTTTGTTCTGCAGTTCGGGTATGCCAACTACAAGGATCACACGGTATTCGGCAAAATTAATAAAGCACAAAATGCACGTCCAGTTTGGAAGTGTATTGAAACTGGATGTGCACTGCAGTTGTTTGACCCCGAGGAAAGCATGTCGGAGGAAGAAGCCGAAAACATCGACATCGTTGAGATGGATGGCAAGTTGGTGGCTGTGGATGCCAAACTTCTTGATTACAAAGCTGCTGCCATAGAGACCATCACCGCACTTGCCAATGTGCTGCGAGAGGACTTCATGCCAAACGCTGCACAAGTCGCTGAACTTGTTACACCTCTCTGCAATTACGTTTCACATGCAGAGGTAATTCAGTTGAGCACATTTCATGCCAGTGCTGCTGGCAATTGAAGGTGGTTTGGGAATCAGGAGAGTGCTCAAATTGTAGAAACAAAGCTGGGAGCTGTTCAAACTTTCCCTGAGTGGAAATTTTGCCCATGGGAATTTGCAGCTGAAGTGAATCGTGTGCATATTCTGTGGATGCGAAGTCGTTGAACCAAAAGCATGGATTATCGTGCGAGTGTGCAACAGCTGCAGTCAAGCAAGAACATACCCATAGTTGGGCGCTGTCTTTGAAGTGCAACACATTTTGCATAGCATCCTTGCATCATCAGCCTGTGTGGCGGCACTCCAGCTTGGTGGAAAATGCCTGGCGACAGACAGTGAGGCTCCTCAGGTCAATTTCGCTCCTACTGTCCGTGGCTCCTGCAGCCCTGTACAGCATAAAGTGACAAGGAAGTTGTTCGCCAGTGCATGGCAAATTTCCGTTTTTCAGCACATCTCAGTGCACACACGCCTGGTGCTTTGGCTGTAGCCCAAACCAAGCTCCAGCTGATCGCTAAGACAGGAAGCCATGCGGACAAATAGGAGCTTTGTGAGCGTCAGTCAGAAGTACAGTTTGGTGTTGCACCTCTTAACAACAACAAAACACTCTTCTTTGGGAGCTGTTCTCAAAGCATTTAGTTGGACCAGGACATTTGCTCTGGGTGCCCTGTGGGTGTCAGTCTTTGTGTGTTTTGTATGGGCTTGAACATTATGCAGCCTGCGACTTCATCGAGTTGTGGTAACATGTGAGGACAGTTGAATCCTGTGTCGGATTGTAATGTTCTGGAGTTACACATGCTGGCCGTCTTGTTCAAGATGCAAGGCCCCTCCCGCTTTTGAAGGCAAATTAAAACAAAGGAATTACCAAACTTGCTCAGGTTGGCTCATTCTGCTGGGATGCATTCAATCATTCAACAAACGCCCCGTGCATCTTTTCACAGGTTCGGCAAGCTGCCATCGAGCAGCAGCCGGCCCTCTTGTCCTGTGCGCTGGACGCCTCCCGCAAGTCAGGCGACACTGGTGGTCAGGATGCGTCATTTGCCCAGGGTTTGCTGGGCGTTCAGTGGCCGGCCCTTGTGCAGCATCTGGCGGACTATGAAAAGGCTGACTTTCAGGCCACGGCCCCCTACGCCCTGGAGTCGCTGGGCAAGATCATGGGCCTGCTGGGGACCAACCTGAATGAGGAGATGATTGGGAAGGCCGTTGACAGGGTGAAGCCTGTGCTGGAGTGCTTTGACGGTCTACGCCAAGACCGGCTGCAGGCGAAGCCGGGTGATCTGGACGAGGAGGAGCTTGAGGTGATTTTCTTTCACTTGCTTTGGATGTGTCCAGAGCAAGCCGAGATTGTGCTGGAAATGTTGGAGACTGTTCCTGGCATTTAGTAGTATTGAGTTAGGACCGTCCCAGATGATGCCGCCTCTGTGTCACATGTGTTGAGCCCAAGGGACCAGCAATAGCATCCTCCATCCTTGGCACTTTTGTTGCCACCTGACTGTTGCCGATTTGACTACTATACTGCATTGTTTGCGGTTCTGCTTCTTGTTTGCATCAGAGGGTGGCAGATGCTCTGTTCTACACGTTTCATTGTTTCAATAACAGCATGCAAGTGCTGGCATGCTTGGTGTGCTTGGCATGGTCAGAATCACTGGAAGCCGATGTGCACCAGATTGGAATGCCTGTCACAGTGTTTGCACACTGCACAAGAATGCAACGCCATTGCAATTCGCATTTTGTTCGTCACAATCATCCCAAACCTGGCCACTGTAGCTTTTTCTGGCTAACACGGAAGGAACCAGCAGTGTGCAAAAAGTACTGCGGGTGCAAGCACATGCCTGTCATTGCCCTCCTTGATTTCGGCTTTGAACTGAATGTTGATGAGTTTTACACTGGAAGTGCAATCATCTGTCACCCAGTGTGAATGAAATTGACCAAACAGATTGCATGCAGCTCCTTGCAGTCTCAGCTGAGGACTTGAGTGCTGCCCACGTCGCCCGCAGGATCTTGAAGAGGAACTGGAGCTGGAGATAACCCTGTACGACAAGCTGGAGACCTTTGTCAACAACTTGCTGAAGATCCTGTCTGACCGCGCAAGCGCCTGGCTGGAAACCATCCTGCCGCACCTCACCCCCCTGCTGGACAAGCGCCATCGGCCAGAACTGCAGCAGATGGCGGTGGTGCTCACCACCGATGTCTGTGAGTTTGCCCCCGCCACCGGCCAGAAATATGTGACGACTCTGCTGCCCATCTTCTTGGAAGCCTGTGCCAGCGACCATGCCGGCCTGCGGCAGTGCGCGGCCTATGGGGTGGGCGTTGTTGCCCAGAAGCACATTGAGGTGGGTGGCCCAATGGCCTTGCCGTCCACCTGTGAGGGCATGTTGAGGGACAACGTTACCGCTGAAATGCAAGGCAGTGCTGTTCTTGGCACCACATTTGTGCAGTGCTGGTGATGCTGTCAGAGTTTTGTTTCCATTTTTATTTGTTTCCAGTGAACTGGTGCTGTTTGCATCTGCGAAGAGCTGCATTAGAATCTACTCCAGTACACCAGTACTGCTTCCTGCTCATGAACAGGTCAACTGAACAGCACGGCACCGGGCACAAAGGTATCAGTTCATCAGTTCAATCTTGATGCTAGTTTCCTTTTGGGAATGGCACCAATGTACTGAAGAGTGCGTGGGAGTCGGTGGATGTTGGCATTGGGGCTACATAGTTTGCTGAAGGGGGATGGTGAACTGGGAACCACCAGTTCCTGAATCGAGCAGCGCTGTTTGCCTGTGCTGGATTCCGCTGCGGCGATGTCTTAGGATGCTTGTTTCCTGTGCCTGGGGAGGGCATGGACAGACGAGATGGACACAGAGTGATCAATTACAATGGCAGGCACAACAGTACGACAGAGAAGATGGTGAATCAGTTTATGCCACTCGTCACTGCCGCTCTGAAGAGCAAATGGGCAAGTTTTTTTCAAGTTTCTGGCACGTGGACACGATGTGGAAATTGAGCAATGTCGGCATGTACCCTTTGTGTGCACGTTGCTGTTGGTGAAATGGCCACTGCTGTGGCGATTGTGGACGATGGTTGTTGAGCAAATGTGGTTTGCTGAGTGTGTTGGTTGCCCTCGATCTGTAGATTGTGAAGCCCTTCGCAGCTCAGACCCTGGCCAAACTGATGGAGGTCGCCAACCGCCCGGAATCACGCACTGAGGAGTATCAGAGCGCCACAGACAACATCATATCAGCCATCGGGAAGATCATCGAGCACCACTCCGACGTGGTGGATGCACGGATGACGGCGGACACGTGGCTCAAGTTCTTGCCGCTGAAGAGCGACATTGCTGAGGCAGTGGTTGTGCACGACCAGCTAATCCGGATGATTGAGAAGCGGGATGTCAAGGTGTTGGGGGAAGCCAACCAGAACCTGCCTCAGGTGGGGCATCTTTCTCATGTTCCGGGTTGACGCTGGTTTTGAGATTCTGCATGTTGAACACTGTGGAGGTTAACTTGAAAAGGGCGGAGACAAAATGCCTTTTATGTGTTGTTGAACCCTCACACTCTCTGAAGGACGACCACATCAACAAAGGACATGTCGTTGGCCACTGCTGCGCATGCTGCAGAGCCTGGTCTATGCAGGAATTGGATGCTGCTGTGCTGTGTTAATTGAGTGTAGGGAAGAAATGTTCTGATAATCAGACTGCGATCGCCTCTCTTGCCTGTTGTGAGCTGAATGGGTCAGCTTGGTGCTTTATACTGAAGGCACAAATTTGCAAGGCAGCATACCTGAATTGCATCTATAGTCCTGGGTTGGGGAGAACATGCTGCTGGACAATTGTTGCTGCACAGAAAGTGAGGCAATCGGGCCAACCTTGGAATGTCTTGTGATGTGACCAGGTGGTTCCAGTGATGATGGGTGTGCTTGCGGGTGGCGACAAGCTAGTGAGCCAGGATGGAGCGCGTCGAATGGTGGGCTTGCTGCAACAGATGCAGAGTGGCATCCCACAGGACATCGTGGAGGGCACATTCAACAGAATGAGCCCCCAGGAACAGGAGAACCTGAAATCTTACATGGCCACCCAAGGCTAGGTGACTGGAGGCAGCTGGAAGGCGGTGTGTTGATGAAGCCCACTGTGACCTGGCATATTCTTCTTTTATGGATTCAGTCAATTCATGGAGCCTGTGGTTACAATTATCATCATCATCAAATCATCATCTCCTGGTATTAAGGTGCAGCTTTTATGCAATGCGTGAATGCTGTAGAAAGTGTTTGTTGCGGATGGAAAAATGACGGTAGTTGAGGGCTGACTATTAGGTCGCGCCCAGAAAACATCATTGATGTAGATAGGGTTGAAATGGTTGGCAGAGGTTGATAGGCCAGAAGTTAAATAGAAACTGTCCGAAAGCAAAAGTGGTGGGTGGCCATGAAGTAGCATGATGGCCAACTGAAACTGTCTTTGAAGCAGTTGTAGTTGTCAATTTGAGAATATTGAATGACTGGGTTGATCGGTTGCATCTCTTCGATTTCTATCGACGCAAGAGGCCTGGTCTTGGGCAGCTGTGCTGCCCAGTTCCTTGGACTTCACAAGGCGAGTGAAGCCCTTGCACATTGCAGGCGTTCGTGCGCATAACTGCACAAGTATATATCTTTTCTCATTCGTTCATTCTTCCTTCGTTCCACCTGTATACGACACACTCAAACGAGAGCTAGCAGCGGTGACGAGCCTGCAGCACGACCGCCTTTCCCTCAGTGTGACTACAAGCACTGAGCCGCCAGCTCTCGGTTCGTGTTGTAAGTTCAGCCACCAGGCTGCTATCCACCCCAGAGTGACGGTCTGCCTTGTAGAAGATATAGTGGCGGAGGATTGCTGACGTGCAGGGAACTGCAAAATGGAGAATGTCACGCTTGCACCATAGCTTGCCTGAAATCTGACAGCTTGAGTCTAGAGGCGAAGTTTTTGTCAACAACCAGAAGCAATTGTAGAGGCACTGGTCTCTTGCATGGCCTTGTGGACGCCGGTGAGAATGGCATTGCACACTTGCAACTCCAGGTATGGAACAATTTTGCTGAATTTGCCATAGGCATGAATGCCCTTTTGATATTGTTGCCTGGCCATTATACATAATGGCCACTGCAACTGGCAGGTTAACCAGTGTATTAGACGTTTAATACAAGAATGCCACAAGATTACAGCTAATTAGGCGGATTCAGCCTCACTTTCACCTACTTTACTGTTCAGCAGTCCATACTCAACAAGTTTTCACTCACAAAGTACAAGAGGCCATGGATTCTAGAACACATGGCTGATCCCCAGCCAGATGCTTCACAAATCAGCTCTTATGTTCCATGGTTCTGTGCACCAAACGACGACAGACAACAAAGGAGCTCAAGCAGGTGGAGAAACACAAGTTCTCACATACTCACGCTCGCACACAGGCACACAAGCCCCCAGGGACACTCCCATAGGTGCTAGGGGCACGAATGACACGACACGGTACAACGCCCACGGAAACGCAGCACGGCACGTGCGCCTGCTTGTGGGCAGTCGTCCTGTCACATCACTCCCGGCGGTCGCACGGCCAGGCTCCATGCATGGCAAATCGCCCTCCTCGGGGCTTACAGTCCGTTCGTCGTTCGGCATCCCCCCACGGCAAGGAAAAACCAAGTCTCTCCCACTGCCACACACCACCCCTTTTCCTTCCCCGGTGGTCCACTCAAAAAAGCCATCAAACTGGCACCTGCCCCCTCACGCGTGGCTGTCCAGCTCCCAATACCACACCACAGCCCCTTCGGCCACTTTTTTACAGTACATTATTTTCCCATTAACCTTTCCCCCGCCCACGTAACAATCCCACGCAGTCTGACCGCCTCCCCCCCCCTGGGGGGCACACCCCCGGCTCCTGCCTCCCCTGCCTGCCTTGCCCGCGGTGCCGCCCGCTCGCCGGCCGTCGCGCCGGCTCAGAACACGCCGGGCTCCTCCTTCACAGAGGGCCCCTCCACTTCTGGCCAACCCGCCTCGATCACGCCGGTCGCGGCGGCCTCCCCGACCCTGCCGGCCTCTTCACGCGCCAACACCCACCTTTGCCCGCCGCATCACTGCGGACGTCCACAATCAACCCGTCCCCGCCGACCAAGTCTGGCGCGCCACACTCCGCCATGCCTCACACTAGAGGTGGCCACTCAAAGATGCCATCCGGTCCGTTAAGTCCGGTTCTTTAATTTTTATCAGCTGTCCGTTAAATTCCGTTAAAGAAAAAGGGAGAAAATTTCAGAAGAAAACAAAAAAATACAAAAAAATCGAAAAAAAACCCAAAAAATCACAACAACTGCGGCTAGTTGAAAATCTAGTATGCATAGGTTGAAATAAAATACAAACATACTCTCTAATAGCGAATTCCATAAACTATAAGTATGAATAAAACCCAAAAATCCCCAAAAAATCCAAAAATCCGTTAATTTTTGGTTAATTTTTGTCTTTTTTCGTTATTTTCCGTTAATTAACGGAAAATTAACGGAAATTAACCTCTGTCCGCTATTAACGGATCCGGGTGGCCACCTCTACCTCACACGTCCAAAACGCCGCCCGACGCGGTGCCATCCCCACCAAAACTAGCGCCATCTTGCGGCGGCGCCCCAGAATTAGAGGTGGCCACACTCGGGTACCGTCCGCTCCGTTGCGTCCGGTTCGTAAAAGTGAGTGTGATATTCGTCCGGTAACATCCGGTCCGCTGTTTGCCGTACTGCCGTCCGCAGAATCCGGCTCTCACTTTTTCTTCACCGTTATTTGCCGTTAAATTAACGGAGGGCGTGCGCGGCGTCCGGTCCGCGACAAAACATCCGTGGATTCATAATTTTGGTCCGTTATGTCCCGTAGGTACTTGCTTTCCAGCCACGGCAAGGTCAAGGCGAAGTTGCCAGGGGTTTCCATTTTGCAGCAGCTCGAATTGTGTTGGTTGCACGCTTCATAAACGTGTGTGGGCGTTTTCCGGGTCATGTATTCTGCGGTTTGTAATACATGGAGTGTTTTGGAGAACTGAACAACACACAAGCCGTGTGTAAAGTTCCAGTGTATGGCATGCCAACTTGCACCACTTGCTGCGGCTGGTACTGCTGCATAGTACGCAGTGCGCACCACACTCCCATTGCAAGTCTTCCCGGCCATTGCAGCAAGGGTTGGGCATAGTTGCAATACCAAACGCGGACACACAAACACCCACATCACTTGCGGCAGGCGGCAAAGAGGGTTCACCTCTGAACACAGTTGAGCCACTCAACATACTTGGGAATGGGTGATACGTATCACATATAACGATGGGTTGCTGCGGCGGTACTCCACAGTTTCCACGCCAGGGCAGCGAGTGTAAAGCCCATCCAGCATAGTACGTCGAAGTTCAACAGCTCAACACATGAAAACGGGCAATGAATAATACGAGTCGTTATTTGTTATCGTCCGTCTCTACCTATTGCACCCTCACTGCGGCGGTACTCTAGAAGTTTCCACGCCAGGGCAGCGACTGTAAAGTCTATCCACCAATCGCAGTACTTGTTGGGACGCATTTCTTGAATAAAATTTTCTTCTATCTATATGATACCCAAGGTTCATCCACCACTCAACATAGTGTGTTCAAGATGTGCACATCAACACAGGACAACGGAATATTACAAGTCATGATATCTTATCTTCTATCTCTATGGTAACCGCACCCTTGCTGTGGCGGTACTCCACAGTTTCCACGCCGGGGCAACGAGGGTGGTCACCGGTGGTGATCCAAACTTTGGAATCCAAAGTCACTACTTCCCTCCCTTCGCTCCCTTCCCTCCCTTCCCCCCCTTCGTGCGTCGATGCGCTAGCTTCTGCTGCGACCATCCACTCTCTGCCATCTGCCACCCTAGCAAGCTTAAATGATCCACGTTCTCGGGCTTGAGAACCATGCGCTTGGCCCGAACTATTAGACCGGCCTTGGAAAAAGATCGTTTACTACTGGCGCTGGAGGCCTGCAACACAACCAAAAATACTCAGTACTTCTCAGCCTGTGAACTTCATAAGGGCACTGTGGCATGTATGCACAGCCAGTTGTACTCAACCACTCACATGTATTGCTAGTATTCGACGTGCAAGCCTGGCCACCAAGGGGAAGCTGGTATGATTCTCTCGCCACCAATCCCCTGCACTCCATTTCTTTTGATACTCACATGCTGGTGTCCATTTCAATTCAAACCACCTTTCGACTTAGGCCTCGATGGGGTCCATATGCTGTGGGGAGGATGGGGCCCGTCTTCTCCTCTTTGATCGTCGGAAACGTAGTGGTCCCTTAGGTGGGGGTGATGCCACATAAGGACAAACAGGCGATGGGTTCTGCAGGGACATACAACATACCCTGTACAGTGTGCAGCCAAATAAAAGTAACAAAGTGGTAAGACTTCCCCAGCCAGGTGACGGCGGGTACTGCCAGATAATGTTGGTGGCATGTAAGCAAAGGCGATGGGTATTGCAGCGACAAGTGGTGCACCCTGTGCAGTGCATGGCCACATGGAAGGAACCAACTGCCAAGGTTTCCCCAGCCAGGTGACGGCGGGTACTGCCACAAAATGGTGATGCCACCTAAGGGACAGGCGATGGGTTCTGCAGGGACATACAGCATACCCTGTACAGTGTGCAGCCAAATAAAAGTAACAAAGTGGTAAGACTTCCCCAGCCAGGTGACGGCGGGTACTGCCAAATAATGTTGGTGGCATGTAAGCAAAGACGATGGGTATTGCAGCGACAAGTGGTGCACCCTGTGCAGTGCATGGCCACATGGAAGGAACCAACTGCCAAGGTTTCCCCAGCCAGGTGACGGCGGGTACTGCCACCAACGAGGTGGCCATGCCAGAATGGTGCAGCACCCTACCCACCCACAAACACACACAGCCACAGCCGCCAAAGACGACAGCAAAATACAGTTCAGCAAGTGTAGTGGTAATCCACTCACCAAGTGAGGGTTCGTCTTGCTGCTCCTCTGCGCTCGCCATTCCCCTCCCGATGGTTTGTGGATCTGCATTGACGCAGCTTGGTGAGGCTGCAGCACCACACACAACGTTAAGTACA